TCAGAACAAGGCGGGGCAGTGGAAAATAAGCTTGTAAAAACAGCTTGAGGCCAAATCACGAAGAACACTGAATGCCTGGGGAGGGGGTGTTTTGTTTGAATTTTTATTGCTTATGCATGGTCATAGTTTAAGGATCCCTGCCCCCAGTCTCAGATTTTGCCTTTTCCTGCTTCCCAAGCTTTCAGCTGGTTCTTTTAGTATTTAACTTCATAGCTCTAAATATTATGCTTATATTACTATTTGATTTCTTTACTTTTAATGTCATTCGTTGAGTTTCTGCTACAGAAGATGAGATATTTATGTGAGAGCACTATACATAAACCATACTTCCTATCCCTTCAGATAGAGTTACATTATAATTTTAGTTCATTAATAGTTTGCATTTACATTATTATTACTACATCAATAATACAGCTGAATCACAGCGTAGACCTTGGTAACTTTTTGCTTGCTTATTTTTGTACTTTTCCTGAAATTAATCATTACCTTGTTGTTTGCTTCTTTTAGTTTGTTTAAGTTTCTAAGTACTTATTACTAATGAAACCCCAAATTTTTTGTCAAGTATAGAAATCTCCTTTCAGACTGTTCAGAAAGACTGTGGTGTCCTACCAACTTCAACTTCCTGGGAAGCTCTTCTCAACCCTAGAGGCCTGTGCATAACCATTTGGGAAAATCCCTTCATCCCTCTCCTGGGTTAAGGTTCCTTTGCCTTCTTCCTCATTTCACCCCCCTGTTTTGATAGAGCACATCCCCCAGTAGCTTTCTGAGAAAAGGTGCATTTGGGGCCAATTTTTTGATACTTGAATTTCTGGAAAAGTCTTTTCTACCCTTGCAGTTGATTGACAGGTTGGCTGGGTATAGGTTTTAGGTTAGAAATCATGTTCCTTTAGAATTTTGAAAACACTGCTCCATTGCTTTAAAAAATGTTGCAACTGAGAAACATGAAGCCAGCTTGATTTCTGTCTCCTTTGTATGTGAGGGGATTTTTTTTTTCTCTTCTTCTGGGAGCCTCTAAATCTTCTCTTTGTCCCCAGTGTTGTGAAATTTCACAATAACCGACCTTGCTGTAGGTCTCTTTTCATCCATTGTGCTGGAATGGGGCCTTTTAACGTGGAAACTTGTCCCTCTGGTCTGGGACATTTTCTTGAAATATTTCCTTGACAATTTCTCTGACAGTAGGTATTTTTTTCCACCCTTTGAATATAGATGGAAATATCATTTTCCCCAAAATGTAACCAGATCTTGTGGTCCTAGGATGTAGCCAGGGAAGCAAAGGCATCCAGCTAAGTCTGCCTATGGTAGGAGTCAGAGCATAAACTTACTATGGAAAGGAAGTTCTGTGGTCCACTTTCTGCCTCCGCTGAGGGCTTTCATGTCAATGAGGTGCCTGGGAAGTCCTAAGTCTCATCTTATCAGAGAAACTGTCCCTGAGTAGCCTAAGATGTCACCCCATGCATCAGTTCATAGTCTCTTACTCTGCTTGATTGTACTTGCCACATGATAGGTGCTCAATGCTCATTGCCTGTCAAATTGAATTATTTGGGATACAGTTTTCCCATCTGTAAAATGAAGATGTTGGACTAGAATTCTAAAAGTCCTAGTAGCTCCAATGTCCAACAACTCTGCTATGTCACTGTGTTGGAAAACGACTTATAAAAGGGAATGAAATAATCTCTGTAAATATGTTTGCCCACATTTAATGAATTGTTTACCACAATGAGGGGGAGTCCTATTTGTGGAAGCCTGTGTCCATCCTACTGAGACAGTGGTTGAGGGGGGCAGGGTCCTGGCTGCTGAAGAGCCAACTGGGACCACAGAGGCCCCTCTGAGAGCCCTCGGGCTGCCAGACACAAAGCCTGTACCACCTTCAGGATCTGAGCAAACTCAGTGAGGCTGGACCAGTGAGGAAAACGCCCTCCGTCTAGAAGAACAAGTTACTCCTTCCCCATCTAGAGGCCCTGGGAGTTGTCCTAGGCTATTCTTACCCTGGCCCCTTCCTACTTTAATCTAACCAATTACCAAGCCTCCTCCATCTGCTCCCAGGGTTTCTCACCCATCAACCCTCTGTCCTCGATTCTCATAGCCTGCCTCGAATGGCTTTCATCATCTTTTATCTGGCCCCTGTCAACTGTCTCCTAACTCCCATCCCTCCACTTAGTTTGTGCTCTAGAACATTCTCCTTGTGAGGCCTGATGGCTGACACCTGTAATCCTAGCACTTTGGGAGGTCAAGCGGGGAGGATCACTTGAGTCCAGGAGTTTGAGACCAACCTGGGCAATGTAGTCAGACCCCATCTCTATGAAACATTAAAAAAAAAAAAAGCCAGGCATGGTGGCACATGCCTACAGCTCCAGTTACTCAGGAGGCTGAGGTGGGAGGATGGCTTGAGCCCAGGGAGTTGAGACTGCAGTGAGCCATGATTATGTCACTGCACTCCAGCCTGGGCAAGAGACAGAGACTTTGTCTCCGTTGATCAATCAATCAAATATTCTCCTCACCAGTCACCAGATAAACCCCTCCAAAGCACAAAACAGACTGCGCTCTTTCCCTGTTAAAAACCTCCTACTACCGGCCGGGTGCAGTGGCTCACACCTGTAATCCCAGCACTTTGGGAGCCCGAGGCGGGTGGATCACGAGGTCAGGATATCGAGACCAGCCTGGCTAACACGGTGAAACTCTGTCTCTACTAAAAATACAAAAAAATTAGCTGGGTATGGTGGCAGGCGCCTGTAGTCCCAGCTACTTGGGAGGCTGAGGCAGGAGAATGGCGTGAACCCAGGAGGCGGAGCTTGCAGTGAGCCGAGATTGAGCCACTGCACTCCAGCCTGGGCGACAGAGCGAGACTCTGTCTCAAAACAAACAAACAAACAAACAAAAAACACCTTCCACTGCCCCCACCAATAGGAGAGAGAAGAGAATTCCGTAAACACCCACACTTCATACTTCAGTATCATGGCAGACAGTGCTCACTGCACAGCTGTGCCACTTGAGTCTCACAACAGCTCTCTGACCCAGGCAGAAGTCCCCTTTGAAAGATGAGAAGCTGTGGCTCCAGGGAACACATGACTGGCCTAAGGGCACTCAAGAGGTCTTGTGGAAGCTGGGTCCCTTACCCTCCCAGTGCCCATCCCCTCCTCTGATCCTACCTCTGAAGACCCGGTCTGGTTACTTGCTATGAACCAGTCTCAGTCATTGGGAACCACAGGGATGGGCCAGAGACACACACGAACCAAGAAAACATCTTTGTGGTATCACAAAGCAAGGTGTGAGATGTCAGTCGGAACCGGGAGTAGCTGGCCTGGATGGTGGCCACTATGGAGGTCCCTGGAGGAAATGTCCGCCCACCCTCACCAGGACCCGTGTGAGGCCAGTGTTCCAGCGGCCACTTCAGGAGACACAGGGTCAGGGGGCTGATGTGTCTTTCTGTGATTCTGTCCTGAGGGGCCAGAGGAGTGTGACCAGGGAGTGCCTGCCCCAGCACATAGGATGACCCAGTGTGGAGTCCTTAAATGAGCAGGCAGCACGTGTTTATTGGAACCTATATTGAGCCAGAGAAACACAAGAGAGGTAAAAATTATATCATTGTAAACAAGAAACCAAAATTGCTTTTTGTTAATGAGGTGAATAAAACTGACGTTTGCATCAGTCATCTTGTAGCCATCACTACAAGAAACCTGCCCGTGGGTAAGGCCGCCCTCTGGCGTCGCTGCCTTGTAATGTCAACTAGTTTTAGCCGCATCTGCCCGACCCTCCAGCAATCTTCTCCCCGCGTGCGGGTCTGCACTTGGTACATTCCTAGGGAAACACCAGGCTTCGGTTGGCTTCTTGGGGCAGGGGCAGCAGCCGCCCAAGCCGGGCTACAACTACTCTACACGAACCAGTTTGTCCCTTGACACTTTTTACACGTTTACGCTCTCAAAAATTATTGAGGATCCCAATATGTTTATGTGGCTAATATCTATTGAGTTATACTATACTGGCAACTAACACTGAGAATTTTAATATTTATTTAAAAATCTCGGCCGGGCGCGGTGGCTCAAGCCTGTAATCCCAGCACTTTGGGAGGCCGAGACGGGTGGATCACAAGGTCAGGAGGTCGAGACCATCCTGGCTAATACAGTGAAACCCCGTCTCTACTAAAAAATACAAAAAACTAGCCCGGCGAGGTGGCGGGCGCCTGTGGTCCCAGCTACTTGGGAGGCTGAGGCAGGAGAATGGCGTAAATCCGGGAGGCAGAGCGTGCAGTGAGCTGAGATCCGGCCACTGCACTCCAGCCTGGGCGACAGAGTGAGACTCCGTCTGAAAAAAAAAAAAAAAAAAAATCTCATTTTATAATAACATAACTTTTTTTCTCTTTTCTTTTCTTTTTTTTTTTCTTCTTTTTTTGAGACGGAGTCTCGCTCTGTCACTCCGACTGGAGTGCAGTGGCGCAATCTCGGCTCACTGCAACCCCTGCCTCCCAGGTTCAAACAATTCTTGTGCCTCAGCCTCCCTCTCATGCCTCCTCAGCTGGCACTACAGGCGCCACCACACCTGGCTAATTTGTTTTTTGTTTGTTTGTTTTTTGTGTGTTTTTTTTTTAGATGGAGTCTCGCTTTGTCGCCCAGGCTGGAGTGCCCTGGCGCGATCTCTGCTCACTGCAAGCTCCGCCTCCCGGGTTCACGCCATTCTCCTGCCTCAGCCTCCCGAGTAGCTGGGACAACAGGGGCCCGCCACCACGCCCAGCTAATTGTTTTGTATTTTTAGTAGAGACGGAGTTTCACCGTGTTAGCCAGGATGGTCTCGATCTCCTGACCTCGTGATCCACCCGCCTCGGGCTCCCAAAGTGCTGGGATTACAGGAGGGAGCCACCGCGCCCGGCCGTTTGTATTTTTAGTAGAGAGGGGGGTTTCATCACGTTGGCCAGACTGGTCTTGAACTCCTGACAGGTGATCCACTCGCCTCAGCTTCCCAAAGTGCTGGGATTACACATGTGAGCCACTGCGCCCAGCCATTATAACATTTTAATAAAAATAACTAGTTTTTTTTTAGTGTAAAGAAAGTGGCATTATTTTATACTTTTGCAACCCTCCCTTTAAGACCTGAATTGGTAGAAGTCAGCTGATTTTCACATTTGCTTCTAAATCCAGTCTCTCGCCATATCACATCATGTAGCCTCTGGAAAACTGCCGTACACCTGAGACAGAATGAAAGTGGAAGGGGCAAATAACATGTTTGTATGGTTACATATTTTTATTTTTTCTAATCTGAATAGCAATCAGTTTATATTGTTATGAAAACAATTTTGATCTTGGGATGCTCTGTCTTGAAAGTCTCGGGAATGCCCAAGCATCCCTGGACCACTTTGAGCACTGCTGAATTAGGAATATGGACATGTGACACCGGGCACGGTGGCTCATTCCTGTCATCCCAGCACTTTGGGAGGCCAAGGTGGGTGGATCACCTGAGGTCAGGAGTTCAAGACCAGCCTGGCCAACATGGTGAAACTCTGTCTCTACTAAAAATACAAAAAACAAAACAAAAACAAAGCTGGGCATGGTGGTGGACGCCTGTAATCCCAGCTACTCAGCTACTCTGGAGGCTGAGGAAGGAGAATCGCTTGAACCAGGGAGGCGGAGGTTGCAGTGAGCTGAGATTGTGTCACCGCACTCCAGCCTGGGCAACAAGAGCGAAACTCCATCTCAAAAAAAAAAACAAAAAAAAAAACAAACCACCAAAAACAGGATATGATCATGTAAGCCTCAAGTCTGGCTGTAAATCTAGAACCAAAAAAAAAAAAAAAAGAGAGAAAGTTTCGATGTCTATCTTCAGCATCCAAGTCTCCTCCCTTTTTGTTTTTGCCTATCCAAAGAACCTAAATTGCCTGAGATGGGCAATGTTCATGCTTCTGCAATGCTCTGTGTGCAGGAGAAGGGAGGAAATCCCCCGTCCTCACTCTCTTAGGTGAGATCCTGACCTGCAGGCCTATCACAGGCAGGAGGGTGAGCTGTTCCAGGCAGGCATTCCAGCCACCACTTGCTGGCCTAGCACATTTCAGAGGAGTGCTCACCCATCTTCCTGCTCAGTCACTGCCTAGAGACTGCTCTCAGCAGCTCTAACATTGTCATTTCAGGTTACTCTCGACCTCCTGAGCAAACTGGGGACAGCCACTCTTTCCTCTAAAATAAGAAAGCTAAGAAAAATGTCTTCATTGTCCCAAGAAACAAATCTGTCCCTGATCCAACTCTTGCCATCCAAAACCCACTGTTGTGAGGGCTTGGCCCGGACCCCCTGCTCTTTACCCTCCTGGGCTCCCTGGCACTCGTGTGGCTCATTGGGATTTGAGGAATCACTCATTTTGTGTAGTCGACGGTCGTCTTCAGTGCCTCACTCCACAGATAAATCTCTAGTGATAGAGATCACAGACCAGTGGAAGGGCCACCAATGGGTATATTTTAAGGCAGGAGACTTTGGGGCATGTTCACAGCCATCCTCATCCCGTGACAGTGTTGGCTGAGGTGTATGGGAAGGAGGTGGTCGGTAGTGATACCCTGGCAAATAGGGTTTTGGGGTCTGACTGGTGTGGTCCTGAGACAGCCACTTACCAGCTGCAGGACCTGGGGAAGTTCTCTTTATTTTTTCTCAGCTTCAGTTTCTTCATCAGTAAAACTGTACTAATAGAACCTACCTTCCCAGTTGTGGTGACATTTAGAGATGTGTAAGGCACTGAGGCACTGGCCAGGGACTCAGAAGACCTGAGGCCTTAACCCCAGCTATTTCACGTCCTGATTATGTGTGACTAGGACAAGTCCCTTTCATTAAGACACTGCCTTCAGTGTGTATCTGTACTCTGTCTAGTTACATATCATCTCTGTTCTCCTATCGCCCTTGCCCCAGCCATCGTCATCTGTTGTCTTAATTACTACAGGAACCTTGTAACTCATCTCCTGGCTTCTGCCCTAGCCCTCTAGCCCTGACTACTCTCCATGTAGTGACCAAAATTAATTCTAAGTCATATCATAGGATGTCTCTGCTTAAAACCCTCTAATGTATCTCAGCTCACTCAGAACAAAATTCAAGTCCTTATAGTGAGTGGCCTTATAGGCCCTGCAAAATCTGTCCTGACCCCTCTCTGACTTAACTTTCTGCTCCCACCCCTGCCCTGCATGCCCCATATCCCAGCCACACTGTTTCCCTTCTGTTTCTTCAATATGCCAGGCATCCTCTGACCTCATGACCTTTGCACTTATTGTTCTTCTGCCTGGAACCTCTCCCTGAAATGTTACATGACTTGCTTCCTCATTTCCTTCAGACCTTTGCTCAAAAGTCACCTTTCAGAGAGACTTTCCCTGGACACCTGATCTAAAACAACATCTCATCCATCAGTTACTGGCATCTTACTTTGCTTGATTTTACTTGCCACATCATAGATGCTCAAGGCTTATTAATTTGGGTTGCATTGGGCTACCTGTGCTATAACTTCTCCATCTTTAAAAAAAGAGAGTTGGACTGAAATTCATGGAGCCCTGCTAGCTCTGAAGTTCCATAATGCTGCTTATGTCTCTGTGCTGGAAAGTGACTTATAAATGAAAACAAAATAGTGTCTGTAATTGTGTTTGTCTGCCTACATTTAATGAATTACTTAACACAATTAGTATGGTTCCCGTTACTGTCTCCTGATTCAGCTGAATATCACAGGAGCCTGAAACCTCAATGTAGATTCTTTGAATGAACAAATAAACAGAACCTGAATGCCAAAGATAGCTTTTGTTTTAAAAAAAATTTAGATTCTAGATCTGTACCCAGACCTGTGGCTCATACGACCATATTCCAAATTCAACAGTTCTCAAAGTGGTCTGGTGCCCCTTAGGGTACCAAGGACTCTTTCAGGAGGTCCTAAAGTCAAAACAGAGGCCACACATTGGTTCACCTCTTCCTGGACTCTGACAGCAGCCCCCAACACCTTTCCCTGATTCCTGTCCCTTTGCCTCCATTGGGACGGCCAGAAGGATCTTTATAAAATGTTGCTTGACCTCCCTGTCCTCCGCCTTAAAGCATGCCAAGTACTTCCCAAGGCTTTCTTGGCATTTCCATGGACATACACTCAGGGTATGGCAGACAGAAAGGTGTTCCTTGTCTAACTAAATAACAGAGAGGAAAATTCTAAAAGAAAATGATGTTTATTTGGGAATAGACATTGCCATGGGCATATGAACATAGTTTACTGTAATACTCATATTCCCATTGCAATGCCCATTCCTCAATAAACATTAGTTTCTTTTATGGATTCTTCCTATTTGTTATTCAGCTTGACATAATGGTGTCAGAAGTGGGATTACATAATTGTTTTAAGACAACTGTCCTTAGCTACAAGGATTGGTAACAGGGATGGTGAGCTGAGTGTGGTGGCTCACACCAATAATCCCAGGACTTTGGGAGGCCAAGGTGGGAGGATTGCTTGAGCCTAGGAGTTCAAGACCAGCCTGGGCAACATAATGAGACCTCATCTCTACAAACAAATTTTTAAACATTAGTCTGGTATGATGGTCCCAGCCACTCAAGAGGCTAAGACAGGAGGACTGCTTGAGCCCAGGAGTTCAAGGCTGCAGTGAGCTATGATTGCACCACTACATTCCACCTGGGCAATAGTGCAAGACCTTGTCTCAAAAAAAAAAAAAAAGAAGAAGAAGAAGAAGAAGAAAGTGAGGGGGGTGGTACCAGTCTGAGGCTGGACAGGCAATTGCTGGGTAGATTTTCATACAAAAGTATTTTTTTTGTAAGGTTGCTTTGGCCTTTATGGAAGATTGTGAAGTTGGTGAATCTTTTGTTCTTGTTATAAGGTATTTGTACATGACAACCCTTCCTTCATGGGCTTCCCTAACTCTATTTGTCTGAGTTTTTAACACAAGTAACTTCATCTTGATTCTAACAACTTCCACATTTCCCCCTTTTGATCAAGATCTTTCTCCAAAAGCACTGCTGATCAATATTCCTATAGTTAGATTTTGATTATCCCTTAGTGCTGGGACCTGTCCCAGTTTGACTTGGTCTGGTCCCACATTAAAGGGATGTGATTAGCAACTAGGAGTCAGTGTCAAAACCCTTTTAGCCGCACTGGAGCAATTGAGGTCTGGAGGGAGTGACTCTCAGGCTAAGTCTACCTAGAATCTATTGTTAATTTCAGTTTGTTCTGTAGGCATTTGTTATCATCTCAAAGTATAGGCCAGCATTATTTGTTAGGAGTTGTACTTCTGCAAAAATTTAACAAGTAACAAATAAAAATTTAAAAGGAAAATATCAAGTAAAATAATAGTCTCAGTTTGTGTAGTAGTTTTGAGTCATGAACTAGACTCAAAGGCAACCAATAAATAATTGAAATTATCATGGGGAATTAGGTGAGACTTGTAACCATGTGGCTGACCTGTTTTGCTTTTAAATTTTGTGTATGAGAGTCTCAACTTTCCCAGAGGAATTTATCCAAGTACGGCATGTAGTATTAGCAATAGTATAGACATTTATTTAATCAATAAAGAATATAGAGCAATTTTATCACCTGGTATCCCATGACTGGGTTGAATTAAAGCAGAGTGAGCAACAGTTGTATTAGGGATGTTGCCAAGGTCACCCACTAGGTGGACTAAAGGATCTCTTAGGTCAGATTCTGTCAAGTTACAAGCAGAAGCTACGGATTATGGAATTCAATTACAGCATGATCCTGCCAAGTGAAAAATAGAAGTATTCAAGGGGTAAGCATCTCATTACGATGTGGAGCCTGGTTCCAACATCTTGGGAAAAGCTGTCTACAGCTGAATGCTGGGCCACCCACCTCTCAGTGCAATTGAGCCTTGGGGGCACTGAGCGCCTCTCTCTGGGAAGAGACAGAACCGTTGGGATGAGAGTGTTCCCTAGAACCCAGCTGGGGAAGTGCGGTCTGCAGAACCAAGGACATTCAGGATGGCCAGAGGCCCTCACATCTTGTTGATAGTTTCTGAAACATAGGGATCTCTGTATTTATTTTATTTTATTTATTTATTTATTTAGAGATGGAGTCTCTGTCTCCCAGGCTGGGGTGCAGTGGCGCAATCTCGGCTCACTGCAACCTCTGCCTCCCGGGTTCAAGTGATTCTCTTACCCTCCCGAGTAGCTGGGATTACAGGGGTGCCACCACACCCAGCTAATTTTTGTATTTTTAGTAGA